CTGGCTCACACTTACCGCTAACTTCTTAACGTTTCGCATTTGCTGATGTAATTGATGACTTTATTTCTGTTTATCGACATGAATAGGGTGCTCAAGGGCGAAAGCCTCATTCCCTTAATAAACTGACTTAAACTGACTTAAACAAAGAGCTAATCAAGTTTATCCTCTCTAAAAAAACCGATCTCAGAAACACACACAAGCAGGTTTTTTTCAACCGGACTATTCACCAGCGGAACGGTTGAAACGCCGAAAACTTGTCTTGGAGTTAAAATCAAGACTGAAGGATGGCGAACACAACCTCGCTATCTTCAAGGGGAAGGTAGTTCGGAAATATATGCCGTTTCAGTGGAACGACAGCTACTCAACTAAAACAGACACCTTCGTTGAACCACCTGATCAAGGCGCCAACACAAGTGAGCCCGTAGAGTCCAGTGTTCTGACTGAAAGAAGGCATGTAAATGGAACCAATCAGGTAACGGAAGAGCCTAGAGAACACGACGTCCACGATAACGGAGTAATGCTCAGAGCAGTAACAAATGCAACGGGAAATTCGACTGGTGCTAAACTGAGGTGCTTGTACACGAATGCTCAAAGCCTCATATCGAAACTAGACGAACTAAAACTTTGCCTTGACGAGCTGTCTCTTGATGTTTTAGCAGTAACTGAGACCTGGCTGTCCGGGAATATTAGCGATAACGAAGTAGCATTGCCTGGATACCAAATTTATCGGAGGGACAGGGAATATCGTCAGGGTAGTGGTATCGTTGTGTATGTGAATGACGGTCTGACAGTGTCGGATAACACCACCAAGTTTGCGTGCAGTACGGAAGCTATCTGGTTGACCATCAAGGCTACCGGTTCCCCGTGTCTCGATGTCCTCACTGTCTACCGACCACCTAGAACAGACCGAATCGCCGACACTCAGCTATTGGAGCAGTTGGAGAAATTTTCCAGTCGACCCAACATCATGATCATGGGCGACTTCAACGCACCTGGAACAAACTGGAATACCCTCCAAGCGTCAGGTCCAAAATCGGCATCCGATTACCGCCTGTTGAGCAGGAGATTAAATGCGTGCCTCACACAACATGTAATGTTCCCAACGAGAACACGTGAAGGACAATGGGCAAACTGTCTGGATCTGGTCTTTACGTAAACACCAGACAGCATAGACGAGATCGTCTCCATGCCGCCCCTTGGCCGAAGTGACCACGTAGTGCTTATGTGGGATTATTCGTTATTCTCCATTTCACATACTCCAGACCACAAAAGACGTAATGTTTGGCGGGGCGACTTCAATCAGATGAGGGCAGACTTATCCGGACTTGACTGGGGCTCATTGTTTACGGGAAGTGGCAACGATGACTGGGAGCTGTTCAAGAATGTCCTTCTGCAGCTCATCAACAACCACTGCCCACTGACTAGTGTAAGACTGAATATACGCCCTGGGTGGCTAAATAGCAACCTTAAGAAAGAAATCAACAGGAAGCACAAATTGTGGAGAAAATACTGCGTCACTAGACAAGCTGAATGCTTCAACACCTACAAGACACAGAGGAACAAACTGAGGAAGCTGATAATGCAGACGCGGCGGGAATTCGAGAAGAACTTGCTACAAAAAGCAACGCAGAACCCAAAATTGCTCTACAGCTACCTCCGACGAAGTACGAGAAACAGGCATCAAAGCCCTTTGATAAAGACTACTGATGGCGTTGAGATCGCTGATAGTAGGGATAAAGCTGCGTATTTTTCACGGTTTTTCCAATCAGTCTACACAAACGAGGCAAGGTTCCTTCCTCCCTCCACAGAAGAACTGCCGACTCCAAGCGTCAGTGATATAATCTTCTCAGAAGGCATTGTCCGAAGAGAATTAGAGGCATTGAACAAATCGAAGTCTCCAGGACCAGACGAGATTCCACCCAAGCTTCTGAAGAAACTTGCCAGTGAGCTCTCTGTGCCTTTGTCGATGCTCTTTCAAACGTCATTTGACACTGGAACACTTCCTGTCGATTGGAAGCTGGCGCATATTACTCCGCTACACAAGAGGAGGTAACAGGGCAGCGACGACAAATTACCGGCCCATAAGCTTGACATGCATTCTCTGCAAAGTTATGGAAAGGATCATAAAGACTGAACTGATGCAATTCCTGGAAGTTCACGGCCTGCTATCGAAATGCCAACATGGGTTCCGAAAAGGAAGATCCTGCACGACAAACCTGCTGCAATCTCTCCAGAGTTGGACCCGAGCTCTCGACGACAGGCACGCGGTCCACATAGCCTTCATCGACTTCCAGAAGGCTTTCGACACTGTGCCACACCAAAGGCTCTTACATAAGCTGAAAAAATAGGGATCGGTGGCAACCTCCATAAATGGATCGAAAACTTCCTTGTTGGTCGACACCAGGTTGTGTGCGTCGGTCGGGGAAAATCAGATCCGGCTATGGTCGAAAGTGGTGTCCCCCAGGGTTCAGTACTGGGACCCATTTTGTTCCTTATCTACGTGGACGATGCCGCAAGAGATTTGGACTGTGAAGTAGCAATGTTTGCGGACGACATGAAGATATGGAGTGTAATTCGTGGTCCTGCCGATGAAGACAGACTGCAGATGAACCTGAATCGGTTGGAGGAGTGGTCAAACCGTTGGCTCCTGCGGTTCAACGTTGCCAAATGTAGCATACTTCGCCTAGGCAACACAGCCAGATCCGCCAGCACAAGAGGCTACTTTCTTGGCGGTCCAGCCCTACAAGAGGCCAAAGCCCAAAAGGACCTCGGTGTGCTTACCACGAGTTCCCTAAAACCATCCGCCCACTGTTCGAGGGTGGCAAAAAGCGCAATGTCCGTACTGTACGCCATCAAGCGTGCGTTTATGGACTTTGACGAAGAAGCTTTCTCTAAGACATTCGGAACATTCGTCCGGCCGCATTTAGAGTACGGCATACAAGCTTGGAGGCCGTGGGCTGTTGTGGATCAAAACTGCCTCGAAAGAGTCCAGAGGAGAGCCACGAAGATGGTTAGGGGTCAAAGCTCCTTTCCTTATGCAACCCGCCTAGTAAATCTGAACCTCTTTCCTTTGAGTTACAGGCAACTTCGCGGAGATCTCTTGCAAGCCTTCCGCATTGTAAAGGGGTTGGATTGCAGTCTGGCCTTCGAGGACTTTTTTGAATTTGCTACCACGACCAACCTCCGAGGTCACCCGTTAAAACTGCGTACACAGCAGGCACGGCTGGATGTGCGGAAGTTCTCCTACTCGGTTCGGGTGGTCAAACCATGGAATGAGCTTCCCGCAGATGTTGTGATGTCACCATCTATACAAATTTTTAAGAAGAATCTGGACATATTTATGTTCCGAAATGACCAAGAGCGATGAGAAGTCGAGCTCACCCCCTGTAACTCCTTCTAATTTTGTCCCACCATTATGGGCGTGTTCGAACTATTTCAGCCAAGAACATCTATCTGTACACCACCAATTTTTTACGTTGCAAATAGGGTACTCAAAGGCTTACGCCTATTTCCCTCAATAAACTGAACTGAACTGAACTGAACCAGGCTCTCCACACAAGGCCCGAGTCGGTCCGAACAAGGCCAACAGGACGGATGAAAAAAATCCCACGGGATCGACGGCCGAAGCTCGCGGCGAAAAAAGATGGCGCCGACCGAAAGTTACGTGACCGGTGTGGCATACTGTCTCACGGACGTACGCGGGAGGACGAAAACACCACGTCCAAGCAACAACGATCAATCACTCCATGCGTACGGACTGGCAAAGTGGTTGTTCCGGCGTCTCAAGTTCCTTGCAGTGGAGTAAGACACCACGGTCTCTTCGGTGGCACAATTCCTGGGGAAAATTAAAATGGTGAACCCCCATACAAATGAGGTCATGGTATCATTTGATTTCACGTCCCTTTTTACTTCTATTCCTTAGGATCTGACGATCGAGACAGTCAGCTACAAACGCAGTTGTTCAAGAGCGCTCTATAAGCGTGTCGAAACGCACTGCAGTGAACCGGAAGACAAGACTGCTGAACTATAACACATTCGCCAGTTCCTCAAAGACAGCGACTACACCCCTAACTGCGTCAAACGGTGCATACACAAAAGGGACGAAAGGCCAAACCTCCTGGACCCCAAATTTTGGCGAGCGCTTCCGTATGTCAAGAACGCTTCGGAGGCTGTAGGCCGCATTCTCGCACCACTTGGGTTTGGAGTTGCACAAAGACCGGAAGCAACCGTCAGGCGTCAGGTAATGAGACCGAAAGACCCGCTGCCACGGCAAGAAACATTTGGGGTCCTTTATCGGATCTGGTGCAGATGCGGACAAAGAAACTACGTCAGAGAAACCGGATGACGGCTCTGAATGCGAATGGCCGAGCACGCTGCAGCGGTGCAGAAAAATGATGCCAGCTCTCAAGTTGCGGCTCATTCGACGAGATCCAGCCACACATTCAAATTCGATGAGGCCGAAATTCTCGTAAGAGGTGACAACGGCGTGAGCCGGGAGCTACTTGAATCATGGTTTACTGGCCCCCGGTCTATTAACAAGTGCAATGATCTTCCTCTTCCATACTCGGTGCTGAGACTTCGTTTAGGCGGAGTAATAAGCCACGCGGACAGAGCACAGGTGGACACTGTTCCCCATGCCAGGATCGGTGGGTCAGGTAGTCGCGTAATTATCACACCCACACCCAACGCACGTAGTGAAATTGCGGCAATTAACGAAGCAAATGTCGACCATGTAGAATGAGAACAGTCCGTCACCCTCCCTCTCCCCACCCCCTACAGCCCCTGTGTGCATACGGACGGTGACAACAAAAGTTGATACACCACTCCCTCATCCGGTGACAAGACGCTCTAGGACTCCCGCCCCGTCCCTTCCTCCCTGCCACCCTGACTGCATATGTAAAAACCCGTCTTAAAATGACTGTCAACCACAATTTCTAACCTCGCCCCGTCAATATAGTACTGGTGTTTGGGAGAGGCATTGCGGCCGGTGTTCAGGTGCAAAACCACGCATTTGGACACGTTAAACTTCAAAAGCCATCTGTTCGACCAAGCACACAGTTTGTTGATGTTCGACTACAACTTCTCTGCGTCATCATTGCACTTGACTTCACTCCATATTTTTATGTCCTCCGCGAACTTGAGAGTCTCGCAATTCACTTCGCTGATGCAGTCATTAACTTAAATCAGGAAGAGTACTGGGCATAAGACAGAATCCTGTGGGACACCACTTTCTACCTTTACCCATTCCGAGGCAGAATTACTAACGACGACTCTTTGTAGTCTGGAGGACAGAAAACTCCTGATCCACTTAAACATTCTTCCTTGAATTCCTACATCCCAAATCTTCTGTAAAAGAAGCCTGTGTGGGACACTGTCAAAGGCATTCTTGAAGTCAAAAATATGACATCTACTGGAAAACCCTTATCGGTAGCTCGTGTCCATTTCTCGTGCGAGTAAAGAACACTCATTAGGCAGGAGCGCCCTGGACGAAAGCCGTGTTGGGCATCACACAATATTTTGTTCTGTTCCAGGTATTTCATCAAGTGTCTTTTGATAATACGTTCCATTATTTTACACGCGATGCAAGTAAGACTGACAGGACGATAATTTCCACAGTCAAGTCTTGAGTCTCCTTTATGGATCGGAGTAATGAGTGCGCACTTCCATTCTTCCGGTAGCTCGCCGTCTTCAAATGACTTTTGAAATATTGCGGATAAGGGTTTGCACAGTTCATTAGCAAGTTCACGAAGTGCTAGGGCGGGAATTCTATCTGGGCCAGGCGATTTGGCAGGTTTCAGCCGGAGTAACTCGGCCCTAACTATGGTAGATGAAAAGAGTGGTTCCTCGGTTAAGGAGGGTAGGGAGGGGATAGGAGGGGAAAAGGTACTGGGAGGAGAGGTTGGTTGGCGAATGGATGGATGGGCAAATATAGAATTAGGTTCTCGGGTGAAGACGGACTGAAAGAAGTCGGAAAGGAGGGACGCTTTAACCTGGTCATCAATCTCCACTTTTCCATCTGCAGACCTAAGGGCAGGGATCAGCTCCTGAGTCCTTTTAGTACTTCGTATATAACCATATAGAATTTTCGGATGCTCCAACGAATTTCGGAGTATGTTCAATTCAAACTTCTTTCGCAGCTTTGAGGCCTCACTTTTACAGACGTTTCGCTGCCGCTTATATTCCTGTAAGTGTTCTTTGGAGCCAGTTAATCTGTAACGCCTCCACAGACGATTCTTGTTTCTGAAAAAGGCCTTCAAGCCCGGGTTTATCCATTTTGGGCGGTTTGTGATTGTCTTCCTTCTGAGAGGACAATTTGAATAAACAATCTCTTTCAGTAAGGAACTGAAAGTATTCCAGTTGTCGTTTGCTCGACCATGCAGTTCAGTCTCCCATGATATAGCTGCCGCTTCCCTCCTCATGAGAGAATAGTCCCCTTTTCAAATGTTTCTCTCCCACCTATCGGGTTGGACGGGTTTGGAAAATAGTGAGTACTCGAAGTAGAGCGTGATGTGGTCGCTTGACCATAATAGCTGTCGGTCCTGCAGGTCTAACACATTTTCCTCCTCTCGGGTAAAAATAAGATCAAGGCAGTTCGACTGCTGTCCTTCCCTGACCCGTGTTCCAAAGGTAACATTCTGGCAGATAAGTTTGTACATTGCCCATTGTAGTAGTTTTTGATTAAAGCTGTCTTGTGTCCCTTGTGCAGTCCACGTTAGCCAATCAATGCCAGAAGCGTTAAAATCCCCAACAATAAGGACATCTTTCTTCTCGCTAGTTTGGTACAGTTCGGATATGAGCATGAGATCTTGGTCAGAAGTATGGTTAGGTGAACGGTACACCACCGAAAGCGTCAATGATCGGACATTCTTAGTAGATATGGTAACGCTTAGCAGTTCCACATCCCGTACCGGTCTATATACATCAGCCATAGCGCTTAGCTTGCAAGTGACATAAATTATGACTCCTCCTCCTCGGCTTAGTCTATCTCTCCTGAATTGCTGATATCCTCTAAGTGATATTTCTGAATTTGCGATATCTTCAGTAAGCCACGTTTCTGTGAATGCCATAATGTCTGGCTTAGTTTCATCAACTAAGTCTCTTAGTTCGTCTAGTTTGTTGAAGGGGCTTTGCACATTTGCGGATATAACCTTCAATGACTGATTCGTTGAAGAGGCCCGGCCTTCATTGTGACGGGTTCTGACCATAGGAAAGACCCCTTTGTTTGGACTATTTGTCCATTTTTGATCTTCAGCCCTTTCTCTCCTCTGCCAATTCTCTCCTTCAGTTCTGATCTCAGTAAATGAGATGGTACCGACAAAAACAAGGGAGACCGGAATGGCCATTTCTGGGTTATTACCCGTCATCACCCACTCATAATCAGCCCGTGGTGTGATACACCTAGCTTTATATGGATTAAATGTCCTCACCTGCCATTCGACGGGATATATACGGTCTCTTTTATTCTTCATATTTTGCCTTAACCTGTTCGGAGGAGGTGTAACATACGCAAATTTTTCACAAAAAGACCAAAAATAGCCCAACAACAGCATGCATGCTCGACCTTATGTATTTTGAGAATATCTGGTTAAGGCTTTCGCCCAGAGCAACGTCAAGAATACTGGGTAATTTCCCGAAGCTGGTATGGGGTCATTTCGAAGCGCTTAAGTCCTTGGTTAATTCACTTATTCCAAATACACCGTTTTTAATTCACCCTTGCACTTGTCACCTCATCTTTCCGGTGGCTGCTCTCGCTTTGTCAAATTAGAACGTGCTAAGTACGGACATCAGACTGAAGAACCGTCGTTTCCACTTTAAATTTCTTAGATAACTTGCATATTTTTTCAAAAAACCAAAAGTTACATCGAATATTTGGCACACAAACGCTGGAGTTTCTGGCAGTTTTTTAAAGTAAAGTTAAATCTCATATTCGTGAACGACCCATATAAACAACCATTTAGCGCGATCCTCGATTTCGTGGTTTACCATGTCTGTCGCCGCTTCCTCTGTACTGCTGGCGCACGAATTATGGAAAGAAGCAGAGTGAGGGTCACTTTTCGAGCGGGCTATAACCGTAAGAATATGTAAAATATTTTTGGGTGCTATTTGCGACTGCCGAGGGCAGCATCTTTTGTGCAGCCTTTGCTCTGACTGATTGATGAGTAGTATACTGTTCAATTTTTAGAAACGGCGTTCAAGTCACCACACCAGTCATTCTCACCGAGGGTCTTATCGAGTTTGCGGTGGCGCAATTGTGCTCCACCTGACGGTAGGCCTCTACCAGACTGGCGTCTTCATTACCGACCAACAGGATTACCGTTTCCGTCTGGCCAGTTTTTTGAAAGCCCAGGTTTTTCGAGTCTACCGTTCCAGCCCACAGGACAAAAGCTTCGTCGTCCTGTGAACAGCCAACTGCACAAGATTCGCCCTGGATTTGTTCGATTCCCATACTTACGTTCTAAAAAACGAAGAAGAAGTTTCAAAACCCCTCCGAAGCAGACGCTGAATCCAAATGATCCTCTTAATCTGCAAGACCTGATGAACGAAACTGACCGTCGGAGAACTGAGGGCCTATCACCCCTTCGTGGTGATTCTCGCTATAGCACACCTGCCCTGAGTATCAGCGGCGAACTAAGCAACGCCAGCCCAGCTGTTGGCGCTGCTCTGACCGCAAGCCTTACCCAAATGGTTATTGAACGAACTAGAGGCAAGAATCTATCTTGCAGGGGACGCGGTCATCCGCGACATTTTCGCCGCGGCCGCTGGCAAAACAGGCGATTGCCTGTAAGTGGTAACTATCCCGATTATTACTCCCGTCGGGATCCGGAGGATCGCATAAAGTTTCTCATGCCTGAGTGGTTTTCTAATGGCGATATAGCCGATTACGGTTGTCATAACGGAACCCTTACATTCCGTATCCTCGAAAAATTCCCTGATATACACAAGATTGACGCCTTTGATTGCGATCCAGAACTGATTGAGAATGCCAAAAGTATGCAGCGGGAAAGGATCAGATGGGGAGCTCAGGCCAACACAAAGTATGACAAAATCAACTTCCAGGTTGCCAATTGGAGCGAATGCTCGTCATTCGACGATGAGCCCACGTACAACACGATCCTTGCTTTCAGCGTAACTAAGTGGATCCATCTAAATTACGGTGATGCTGGCCTGATGCGCTTCTTCCGGCGTGTTTTTAACTTACTGAGACCAGGCGGACACCTCCTGCTCGAACCACAGCCTAAATCGTCGTATAAGAAGACTCGCTTTACAGTAAGTTTAATTTTTACCCTAGCATTTCTCTAGGCTGTGCAACAGGAGAACTATAAAGGCATGACTATCGACCCGTCAAACCTGGAACCTTTGTTGCTGGACGTCGGCTTTTCATACTTTGACAAAATTAAAGTTCCTCGTGCCAACGAAGCCTTTCAGAGGCATATAATCTTATGCTCCAAGTCTTATGGCGCCACACCGTCATCCATCCGCAACGATTGCCGTAGTGAAAACCAGATGTGGCGAGATTCCCCTTCGTCGGATGGCTCGGCTCCCCGAGGCCCACCTCCCGTTAACTACTGCCCTCAAACACCTAGTTACACAGCCCTCGTTTCCCCCAGGTCGTCTGTGCATTTTCCTACCCCCGAACCGTCTACTACAACTCCAGATAGTCTTCATTTCGAAGCAATTTCAAGTACTGTGCCGACGGTGGAAGCCATGAGTAGGGTTCCAGTTGAAGCATCCCCACTTCTCTCTATTGTGGATAACTCGGACGTCACTGTATCGGTGCCAGATTCAACTTCCGAACAGTAAAATTGTTTTCATGCTTGTACATATGTCACATATTGTTAAATTGCTATGCTCATTATCTAATATTTATCAATTTTACACACCCTTGAGTTCAACTTCTTGATGCTAGGTGACCATGGGTGAGCCGACTTGCAAGTGTGCAATTTTGCTTTTTCATAAGCTCGTTGGGTTCTTCGTTATCTTTTGACCTATTTTACTATTTACGTCTGCCATCCAGTAGTCGGCTCATTCCAGCGCCATGTGTAATGGCTACCGGAAATCAGGAATGTCGACTGACAACAGAAGGACCTCCATATCTGAGGTTTCTTCGGCGTGGCCGCTATCTTTGGTTAGTTAGACAGCCTGTACTATGCTCCACGTGGTAATGTATCATGACAGGACATGCAAAATATACCTATTCCACATTGGGAGCGACTGTCGAAGGCAGAAACTGGATGAAAAACACCAGCATAGGGCTGCTGAAGCAGATGCTGAATGTGGTCCTGAGCCACTTTGGCTGCCTTCACGACGGGCGGACTTTCTCATTTGAAATAAGTTCTTAACTCTCGAAAGCTGGTCCTCTAAGAGTAGCGATCGAAACTCCATCCTCAGCGGTTTGCCGCAGTCAAGTATTAGGAATTACACACGACTGACTCGACAGTACTTACTTGTACTTGGTGCGGCTGCGATCATGCTTGATTTAGACGGCCTCGATGATGTCCCGAACTGTGCCTCTCTGCACGTGACGATCTGCAGCAGCAGATTCGGACAATTCAGCCGACGGGGACTGAATGTCGAAGGTCCAAGAACCACATCCATATCCTGACGAACTGTGTCGGGCCAGGTTTTAAGTTGACTCCCCTCTTCGACGCCTCCCGGCGCTGGATCGAGGGCATTAACAAACCTCCTGAGGTGGACGACGAAGGACACGCCCAAACCACCTCAGTCTCCTTTCTAGGATGGCCTCGGTTATCCCTGCGGTGTCGCAGCGAGTGTGGACCGTCTCTTTTGAGACGAGATCGGTGTACTTAACTCGGAGAATGGTCCTCAAGCGACCTCGCCCACCTGTGACATCACAGACTACAGATCACCAAAACTTAAGACTAGCAAGGCGATACCATCTGCATGGTCGTGATCAGTCAACCGGTGTCTGGGCACAAACTCAACACCATTATCTTCGTGCAGAGGACTCTTGAGAATCCAGTCAATAGCGTAGTTGGAGAGAATGGACGACAAGATACAACCTTGTCGAACGCTGGAGCGAACACCGAACGGTTGAGAAAGTTTGTTATGGACCAGATTTCGTGCAGTAGTGGAGCGCTAATGAGCCCTGATCAAAGCGATGATTTTTAGTGGTAAATCATCTAGTGCCATTATCCACCACAGGGACTCGGCTTGGACGGAGTCGGACGTGGTGGTGCCCGGAAAACGCAACTTTTTTCTGTCGTCGAAATTTCACTGTTTGTTTATAATGGCCGCAGAAAGCTGGCGAAGGTCCTGCTGGTAGCATTGTTCTGGCGGCGACCTCTTCAACTCAGTTCGGCATGTCCCTGACATAACTTCTCTAAGCGGACAGCCTGTGGTCAAGTGGTCGTCCGCATGGTTGAGCATGCAGCCAAAGAATACTTCCATGTTTTCAGGATCATTAAATACTTTGCTGTCCCACTGTAACTGACCATAACACAAACTATGCAGTAATGTCGGCGAGATCTGCCCTGCGGTTTTCCTCGTATTTCATCTCGTTCTTTTTGACTGTAAGCACTAAAATCACTCGGCCTCCTTCATCTGACGCGGGTTTGTTGTCGTATTTTGTTGACTGGGTCGTGGCGTCAGGCGTAAAGTTCATAACTTTCCTGGTGCCTTATTCCGGAGTATGTGCATTACGTCGGCGACGTTCAGAGACGCAAACTTTAAACTACACCTCGTAGATTTTAGGGGGTATGTCTTCACTCATGGTTGAGTATTAGTCCTGAGAAATCCTCCAAGGTGTCGAATACAGTGTAGTTGTCGGCGTCATAGCTCTCAACATTGCCCTACAGTAACCGATTTTATGATCTACCTGGACAGGTTGTTTAGCACTAACCTTCTTTACGCAACTATGCATGACGGACAAAACGAACTTGACGGCGAAGTAAGCAGGCCCTCGGGTCTGACGAGTAAGCAGTCGCAGACTGGTAGTGACAGTGATGCCAAGGTGTGGAGTATTGAACTTTTGAAAACCACCGACTACATTATTAGATACAGTGTAGATAGATGATAGCACTTGGGTCTGCGACCGTACGCCGGCTTTGAGGTTGCCTGCCACTGCTGGCTTTCGGAGCTCGTGGGCCAAGACTAAGAAGCAATCCTAATGGCTGTTAGGAACCCGCCAGTACTTTAAATTCCTACGAAATTTGACATCTGCAATGTCAGAGAATGCCGCTTCAATCTATAATACGGAATCGGCGGGGACGGACACGCTCCGCAACCCCGGGCACAGGGCGAGTAGTAACACGGTGTGACGACTATCCTCCCTCAATAAACGGACCATACATTGCCTACGTGGAAGCTAAGCAGTTGCTGGCTGTCTTGCGTACAACTGAAAGCAAACCTTACTAGCAAAACTGTCGTGTTTTACATGCGCTAGAAACAGCTGCCGACTAAAGCGACAACGAGACCTCAGCTGTAAAGAACTAGCTAGGGACTCGCATCCTGTGATCTATTGATTTATGTCAGGGACTGTAGCAGTCGGTCTTAGGTGATTCTTGATGCTCTTGACCTGACCTGGGATGGCCAGGACCCGCTGATACCAGAATATTTACAAACCGCCTCAAATTTTTCCCAACCTGGCCTTCGGATGATAATCATACAGCCAGTCAGGCTGATTAAATTCTAACCCAAGGTTTCGTAGGCGGGCCTACGATAGAAAATCGAGGCCTGGTGCCGAAACTGGCAACGACGATAGGCCAGAGCATGCTGTCCTTCATACATATCTGAAAGCTCTCGTCTCATGCGCTCCCAAGACTTCATCTCTGGGACGCCTTGCGTCACAAAGCCACGGCAACTCATCGCAGCCGAGGCTCAGCGCGCAGAGGTTGGGTCTCGTTTTGATATCCGAGTCGAAGAAATCAGCAGTAAATAGTCATAATCGAAGCCGTTAGTATGATGGTGGCCTTGCAGTTGTTTTGCCAGGCAACTCGAGCAACGAGGGTCCACTCGTCAACTCCGGGAAATAACAGCAAAGTCAGCCGTCAGAGCTGACTACGGAAACTATCGGACAGAACTCGAATCCCGGTAGCACGTGGGGACTACTAACTTATTCGCCATGTTGGTGGTAGGCATTCTGCACTGTGTGATTCTGTTTGCAACATGAGTTTTAATGTCGACAAATTGGCCGCGATCGAGAGCTGGCGTGAAGAGCTCAAACAGCGCAATCGCAATAACCAACCCATCGTCGGCAGCTTAGTTTTACCCACTTCTGGCCCATGCATCGTCGTGTGGGCCCCCTCTCATACAACGCAGTATGCGCAATAAGACGGGCTGGGAGGACGACATCCTCGTCGAAGATTACAAGTCAGGCTCAATGAGGTGATTGAGCGATCGTAGGAAAATGAGCTCGTTCCTGACTACCGAGGCAGGAGCATTCTTTTAGCTGTTTTTATGAGAGAACACAAGACAAGGAGCAAGAACTGCTGCGGCATAAGCCTAATCGACGTTGTTTGAAAGGTGTTACCGTCATTCTAAGGCGATTTGAGACTGTGCGCGATCCAAGGGCGAGACCCCATCAAGCCGTGTTGGGAGCTGGATGTAAGTGCGCCGATCCACACTGGGGCGCATTTTTGAATTTCACTGTGGCCGTCATCGACCGACGACCGTCTGCTCTGTTGAGTTCGACGCAGCGTTCGATTCTGCTAACCGCGACCCCCTCTCGAATCGACATTACTCTTAGGATTTTCGCCATTCCTAGAAAATGCCTGTAGATCCCGTGGACATACGGCAAGCACTTCGGAGATCTGCGTTTGCCCGGCATCCGTCCGGTGACTTCTACCGTGCGGTTATGAATATTGGGCTGTACGCTTGGCAGATGAGCGGAAACTGGTGTTTGACCATTTTTGTCTGAAAGACATCAAGCGAGACAGTGCACCCGCCAGTTTAGCTATGTGGATAGATTTCTGCAGGTAATATTTTCACTACGAACCTACCCGCCATTCAAACTGCGGGTTAACCTACATACCCGGGCGATGCAGAGCAGACTGACCCTCAGCTTATGCTATCTGAGCACTCGGCGAGTTCCTAAGTCAGACAGTTGCATATCAGCAGCGCCAGTGCTATGAGAGCGCAAAGTGCCGGTGTGCAGCGCACCGCCCATCCTACAAAATGTCGCGAAGTCAGATTACGGCAATAATGGCGATAATGGATTCCGATAGAATTAATGCTTGTTCCATCCCTGTCTTACATTCAGGTTCCAACCAACCAAAAACCATAGGCCAACCGGTCAGCCGTTATTGACCTGTGTGCTCATGGTGTAGGTGGGTATTAGGTGGACGTTACCGCCCCCAGAGAGATTCGGTTCTTCGACAAAGGTAATCGGGATACTTTTTCTTTTATGGTGACTGCCCAAAGGGAAAAGGATGAGACAGTGGAGTCGCCTTCGGCATAGTCGTAGGGTTGCCTCCTGACAGTGGTGCTCCCCTTTCGTTGGAAGAAACTAACGACAACTGTCAGTGCCCGCGCTCCCCTCCCCAAGTTATGAAAAACAAATTCTACGACGCTTTTATTTTGTTCTTTCTGAGCAACGATAAAATTGTTGCCCTCGACGACTTCAACTATATTAGGCGGGGATTACGTCACTTGGAAGGGAGTGCATGCTCACCAAGGCCTACATATATGCAACAAAAGTGGATTTATGCTGGAGACCTGCCCAGAACACAATCCCACCACTAACACCGTCCGCCTTTCCGACTGGCAGCTGATGAATTGTGTGTTCGTCAAGAGACATGACCGGCAGGAAGTTCTGATGACAAAGGCGGTGTATTTGCTCGACT